CGCACACAAACCGCTAAAGTGGGGGTGGGGGGGGGAGATGGGCGAATTAGGGAGAGGCGTCGTACGTTGTAAGGCGAGAGAATATACGAACGAGCGAACTTTTCTCGATTACAGCTCGGAAGCGGACCACTACTTTCGACGACGCGGTACAGGGTCGCGAAACAATGCGCCGCTTCGTGAAAAGAAAGCGATTGCGTGCCCTCCACCCCATCCCATCCCCCTCATTCTCCCCATCTACCTACCCACCCACCCACCAAATCTCTCGATAATATCGAGGGGAACAGCGCGCCACGACTCGCCTTGTCATTTCTCGAGTTTGCGGTGTGTTTCGTGACGCTGAGCAGCAAGGGGGAGGCTGCGAGCTCAGGGTCAAGGTTTGACTGCGAGTTTCTGGCGCGCAAGTGGAAAGGGCCGCTTTCAGGGTTGAGACGGAGGCGTATCGCGACATTCTGCCCCTACTCTACCGACCGCGAGTAAGTTTGTTCGGCCAGCGGGGCCGGGCCGATGCCTTATGTAACGTGTGTACGATGGCTCTCTCTCTCTCTCTCTCTCTCTCTCTCTCTCTCTCTCACTCGCGCATCTTATAATAAGGAAAAGGAATTGGCTATTCGATACGGTAAGGAACAAAGACAGAGAATTTCTTGTTAATAGTCATTTTCTCAAATGCCTAGACTTTCCTCGATGATTTTAGTTGAGCTACATAAGATCCAATGCATATAAAGTCTAATAGATGTGTGACTCCGTAGCTTTTGCTAATTGTAGGATCGGTGCATTTATATAATACGAGTGTGCGTGACTATCTTTAGATCTTAAGCGTATACAGCACGTTCTAAATAGCGATTGCTTTAAATTTAAATGAATTAATCGGTCTTATGCGAACATCGTGTACGCATCTGAGTAAGTTTATTCGGTGAACGCAAATTAGAGTCATCGACTTTCGAGTGAGAATTCTTTAACGTATAAGACGAACATTGGATAACGCGATTAATGGAGATAACGAAAAATATATTGGGAGTTCGTACGTAGACTTTATTCATAAAATTCAAGCAGAAACGGAGAGATAATTTTTGGTAATATTGAGAACTTGATTGATCGATCTCTACATAATGCGGTGTGGCCTCGAGCTGAATAACGTTTTCAATTTCTTGCGGTTGCAAAAAAAAAACACGTAAAAAAAAGGAAAAGTTTGTCTTATATTAAGATATATTTTATGACTTCGTATAAAAGGTATAAAATTTAATACAACCGAGCGTTAAAAAGTGTCCTTGTACTAAGCTATTACTAATTGTTAGTGTGTGCATATATATATATATATATATATATATATATATATAATTATGTATTAAGGTAATTATAAATATTGCCGTTTTGTACACTTTGCATTGGTAATTCTAAATTGGAAGTTACGTTCGCTAGATATTCCAGATATAATAATAATATGGCTTAATAAGGCTGTGCGCACTTGATCAACTATCGACTGCAGCACGCAAGGGCGACGACATACAACAAGTCATATTTCAAGATCTGTTTGTATGCTAGACCTAATGAATAACAATTAGAAAAGTTAATACGCAGACAGCGTTAAAGCATCTAAGAGGGAACGTTGCTCTCCGATACGAAATATCAAAAATCCTCCTCTCAGATAGCAGCAACGAGTTAAAAAACTAAACTATTAAACGATTACTTATCCAAGCGGACCGCGATATTTCACGTTCTTTTTCTTATCATCCAAACTTGGCCGGACTCATGAATCGACGAACACACTAACTATGGCAGCTGCTCCACTTGTGGAGAGAAGATTTTTTCTCGCCGAACGATAAGCCATGACAATTAATATTTACTTTGGATTTAGCGATGCAGAGCTTTGTAGCAAGTACAACACCAGAAGTGTAATTGCCACTTTAACAGACTGACGCGTAATACGTACTATCGCATTTTCATTGGAAAACTTTTATGCTTTAGCTTTTTTCTTTTCAAAACATTACGAATGTCAGGAAATCTAGATTTTATCGGTAAAGAAATTTTGAGATATTGGTTTTTAGTTGCCGTTTCTGAAACAATTTTCAATACGAGGATTATACAAAAACTTAAGATAAAGCTGAATAATGAAATAATGACTGAAATAATGAAAATCAACTAGATTTGGCTTATAATGGCTTGCGAAAGCTATACGGAGGATTTAGTCACGAGTTAATTTTGCGATAGTCCGCCGATGAAATTAATATTATATTAATAGTGCGGTATAGGCTGATTTCCGGCTTTACCAGCAGATGCAGCTGAGCACTTGTCACATTACTGGATATTGCAGTATCACGCGCAAAAAGTGCTGCTGATCGTAACGATGCACTTGCACAATAGTTGCATGAAGGAGAGCGTGAGAAATATTTCACTGCTTCTTGTAAATATTCACGGATTATTCGAGAAATATAGTCGTAGCTTTGTACAGTGCGGGGCAAGCAATGGGTATACGATCAGGCTGAATAGTATTGTCAGCAGTTTGTCTCTCTCTCTCTCTCTCTCTCTCTCTCTCTCTCTCTTATTAATTTTTTATTGGTCAAGATAAAAACAATTAAGGTGTAAGGGAGCGTGTCATTAGCATCAATCACGTGTGAAGGTGCAAATCGAAAAGATCGAAGAAGAGGCTTTATGAAAGTTAATATACATTTGCCTCCAGGCGATATGATAAATAGAAGATTCATGATTAATGATATTGTTCGACTATCGGTAATGGAAATTTCGAGAGTTATAAAAATATGTCGATGCTACAAAGATATTTCTTTACAGATATTATCCAATAAATAAGAATGGAAGTGGACACAAACTGCAAATAGTTTTTCTTACGATACTCGGCATTTGTACATTAATTCCTTAATCAAGTCAAGAGTATTTATTTGATTTTTATAATCATCGATACGGATAAAATTAACATACATGCACACAAAAGGAAAGATTCGTTATAATATCAAAGACCGCTACTTACAATTGGTTCCTTTAAAAACATTTTTTTGAAAAATATTTTTCGTCTTTTAATATATCGTATGATTTGCGAATTGTAAAGTAAGTAAATATTTTTCAAAGTAGGAGTAGGAGTGAGATTATACGATTTATTTGAATAACGTGTTTTCTTTGAGAAAATAATCTGTATTACACTGGAACAGACCGCTGTGATTACTTTATATTTTTTTGAAATATAATTTCACACAAGGTTCTATCATTTGTTTGTTCGTATTATAAATATTATAATAATATTTAAGTAAAATTTATGTCAAATCGATACGGACAATAAAGTATTGACTAGAGTTTTGTATTTATATTAAAAAAAATTTTTTTTTCCAATTAATAATAAGCATTGGTATTTCGTTTAAATTTACCGAAAATTAATAAAACGAATCACACTTAACTGGGAGTGGGAGTGGGAGTATTGGGACTCTGAATCGTTCGAGTACTCAACGCTCAAATTCCTATTACAATAGTAAGCATTTTTTCAACCAATTTTTTTAACAGCTTTGAATAGTAAGTCGGTTGAATACTTTTTCTTTCATTACTTCACTGCTCCATTCAATATATTCCTCACATAATGTCACTTTGCCTTTATGTATTTAATGCGGTCAAAGCCAATTGTACCTAGAAACACTTTAAAAAAAAAAAAAAAAAAACATCAATCGAACCAGCTTTCCATCACGTTGTGTATTCGAAATTACGAAACTGATATATCTGCTCGATAATAATCAAGTGTTTATAATTTTTAACGCACTAAAGAAAAAACTGCCGTGACTACGCGGACAAGAACGCGAAACTACATCGCGTTGCAAAGAGAGAGAGAGAGCAGTAATTGTATTGCCTTATTGCCCGCCATTGGCATTGCATCTCGCCACGAGAATATTAATAAAAACTGCTATTAAATGGAAATAGATGAAAAAGTTTATTAGGGCGGAAAAAATGTTATATTAATTAATTTCAATTTTAACAAATGAATGAAATACAATTTAGGAAACTTAGTAGTTTAAATTTAATTCTCGCATTAATATTAGTAAGAAAAACTTAAAAATATATTGTTAAATGTGCTTTATATAAAAAGACACGATTCGACGTTTTATTTTGTTGTTGATTACCGTTTAATTTTTACTTGAGAATTTTACTAATTTTTCATACAAAATATATATTCATTATCATTTCTCGTACATTTTCATGATTTACTAGGGTAGATAATGTTTTTTTGTTTTTTTTTTTTTGTTAAATTGCGAACAAGTGTGCGAAACGTACTTTTATGCAGGTGACGTTCTCTACAAGATTAAATCAAGTGTATTTTTCAGTGTAATTTTGACATAATTTAATATGCGCGCGCCAGCGCATACGTACACACGTTCTCACGCATACGCGCACACAAGCGCGCAGGCGCGCGCCAGTGCGTTCATTATCAATTAATTTTTAATTATATATTTCATAAGTTATAGATATATTTTTTAGATAGCATTCATATACATCAATTTTAAACTATCAGTGAATATATACAAAAGTATTTTGAAATAAATATTAGGACCATTTATACAAAATTAACATTTTAATAAATAATTGTAGTAAATAATTCATTATAACTTGTACTTTGTTATTATTATATTATTTAATTAATTATTAAAGAACAAATTAAAACATATTAAGCATAATATTAATGTTTCGACGATTGTATTTTGATAATATGTAGATTTAATTTTGGGATTAGAATTTATACTGTATAGCGAATGTTCCTTTGCGTATACAAATTTCATTGCATTGCAGATTGAATAAATTAATTAAAATTACGTGAACAGTAAATTTCAAGCCATCGAAGTGCTTATTACATTTAGATATTTCAAAAGTTCTTTCAAAAACATTTGCAAATGTATTTGCACGCTCGTGTTCTCACGACTATCGATGCATTCGCGTAATTATTCCTTTTTTTTTCTTCTTTGATTTGAATTTTAACTGCGATTGATGTATAAAGTTTAGATATCGAACTTATATTATAATATAACCGACAAATGACTCGAAAATCATTATTTATAATAAGAAATTTCATTCATAATAGTCTATGTTTGGGAACATGTAATTGTTAAGTGGCAAATATTTCTTCAATTGTATTTTGTATGAGAATTTTCATCTATACATAAGAAATCTTGATTTATTATGATTGATCTTTAAGGCTACAGGCTACCTCAATTGTCCAGCTCTTCGTTGTTGCCAAAGAGAAAATTTTCTATACGCAGCGTTTAATAATTGATTTAGATGACTCGTGAGATGTTGACTAATAGCTGAAAATTCTCTTTGCAGACGGTCCTGTAATATTACAATATGAAACAATGAAATATTTAACGAGTGATACTGTTTAAGTGGTAACATTTCTTACATGCATGCAAACAATGATAATTTGTAATGATTTTCAAAATGAAAAATTTACTAGAACATTTCTACCTCAAACGGCTTCAGTTTAACCGAATGAAAATTACGTAGTGCCGAGTGCATTCTCGTAACTTTCTCTTCGAGCTGAGGTGTTGTTGGTGGAAAGCTTCTCCAAAAATGTTTCAACAATTCACACGTACAAACGTAAACACTGGCAAGTTCTTTTTCCAACTCCTTGGGTATTAATTCTGCCAAAAGAAGAATTCAATTTTCGTAATAATGCAAATGCGTTAATATTGTAGAATCTTGCGTAATAAAATAATAACACCTACGACCAAGACTATCTTCGCGAAATCCTTTCATTAGCGAACCACCGGGAGTCAGTTCTCCGAGTGCTGATACAGATGCAGCAGGACTCACTAAAGCGGTGGATGGTTGTCGAGATAAGTAAGCCGTATGGGACCATTTATTCGTTTCCTTCATTAATTGACTTGCAATGGTCTTGACGTGTTCTACCGTTGAATCATGATTATTTTCTATATTTGGGACCGGCCCGTGTAAATACCTATCTACTTGCGTTAATACTAATGGTGGCCCAGTATTCGAATGCATATCGTACTTAGTATCAAGGTCTTCGTATACTAACTTATCTTGTATACGTTGCTACATACAAATCAAAGAGTATAGTTAATTATGACAATAAATATGATAAATATGATAACGATAATAATCATGAAAATAAAAAAAACGAAAACAAAATTCATATATATATATATATATATATATATATATATATAATCAAGGCTAAATAAATAACAAAAAATAATAGTTTAATTTACCTTTTTGGACTTTGGAGAATCAATTACGGATCGACTAATGGTAGAATTTTTATTTGGTATTGCCGAGCCATTAGATTGTGGCTGAGTTTGCAGTGCTGCCAAATGGGTAGCATTGGCTTTCATAACCATTATGCTATGTTGATTGAATCTTTTGATCATACTTTGATGAACAATGTTGCCGGACGATTTGTCAGATTTGCCAGTTCCACTATCGTACATCTCATCCAAGTACACATTATCGAAACCAGTTATGTCCACCATGGGATCGTCGATTCCCGCTTGAATGTCCTTTTTCAACTCCTGATCATCGATCTTGGCACATTCGGTAAATAGATCCTTGGTCCCTACATTGATACGATCTCGATGAAAATAGTGTGATTGAAAGAATTTGGTCCAAAAATCAGATTCAGACATCTTGTGAGGCACGTATTCTTGATGTTTCTTTTTCACAGCTGGATATGTTTTGAATATACATTCTATTATATCCACCGTTAAATTATACTTGAGTCCATTGCAGCCGTCAGTTTGTGGTTTGATATCAGCCTAAAGTACAGGTAAAAATAAGCTTAAATGCCAAATATCACTCAATGACTCTGGCTTTAAATTTACAATTGGAATTTTAATACATACTAGAAAGGCACTATTTACACCAATTTCTTGACGCGGGGCCAATTTGGCCTGCGTATACTGCGCTGCATGCTGGGCCCAAAATTCTTCCGACGTTATCACTTGTGTTATTACCAAATCCCGATAAAGCTGAAGTAGAGTCGGATTCTCTTGCAGCATCCTTGATAGAAAATATCGAGGCAAGTGTTAGCGCCAAGTACATAAACGTTATTTTGGATCCATCGATACAAGCAATTTTGCAATTTACCTATTTTTCTCCTCCAGCTCCTTATTAACTTTTCTCTTGAATTTTGGCAATAGCTGCTGCAGCAGTTCTTTAACCTCGTCTCTATCTTGAATTTGTGCTTCTTGCCCATTTCTATTTACAAAGTGGAACGTCGACGACTGACCATCGTGAAGTACAACTTGCAACTGGATTTTAGACTTCCCTTCGGGCGAGATTTTCTGCACTAAAAACATTCGTTTTAACGATTAATTAATCTCTCTACAGCTCCACAATTGATAAGCATACGATTGCATAAGACCTGACACGCCACTCACATTTTATATCCGCATATTTGTGACTTACTGAAACGGTATCTTTATTATCAAGCATCCATGCTATTCTCTCGTTCATAATATATAACGTTCCATCCCCTTTTTTGTAACGAACTTGTCCCACTTGCATTAAAACATCTTCCGACGATGTGGTCATTTTGTCAAGGCGTCAATGACTCTCGCTACTTGGAAAAGCTCGAGCTTAGAAATCACATGGGTCGCCAAGTGTACCTTTAACAAAATTAGCACCATCGTCAATATGACAATTTGCCAATCCGACTCTAAAACACAAATCCCACAATAAAAGCAACTTATTTATAATAATACATAGGCTTGCCCGAATTTTTAAATTCACAAGCGGCTCCTGCCTCGACGCCGCGCCTCCTCGCCCTCAACACACCCAAGCCTCTCAAGTGCCAAATTATATTCAACATTAAGATTTATCAAACCATTACCTTTATCTTTACTTTAGATCATAGTACATTGGTCTCAGCCTTGGTAGCCGGTAGATGATACACGAGCGCCATCAACAGAACTCCGCCACCACTCCATTAAACTTTGTATCCTCATGTGCGGTTATGCGCATGCCGCACGCATACTGCCAATCGCTCCTCTTCACGCTGCAGCGAATATCGCCCTCTACGAAATAATGGCCATCGCTCCGTAGAGTCGAAGCTCTATCACGACGCCATCTTGCCACTTGGCTTCCATTACCGTTCCCCAGGACTTTTCAAAAAACTCTCCCATCTACGTTAACCAGCATTAACAGCCTCTACGTTAACCCGTTATATCTACACCTCACTTTACTTGCTCAATCCCCTTGTTTGCTTCCTTTAATTTTCATCCGCGACCAAACGAGCCGAGCAAAAGCGCGCCTCACCTTATCCACCCTATCCGTCGCCAATGCCAAAGCATAACGACGCGCTCTATCAACTCCAATCTTACCATAATCAAAACAACGCTCGCGACCAAGTAAAACTTCTACAAGTAATTCGAAGGAATTTTTTAACCTTATCCTTTCCTTTCCCATCCAATTATTTGCCGCTGGTCTTTCTCTCCTAACGCATCACCCCTCCTGCTCCAACAACCCACCCGTCCCTTCGTCATCCATACTACCCATGGAATTTCAAATAAATAAACAGGCGCTCGGCAGCAATGGCTTTCCAATCCAAAGCGATCGCCACTTTTTCATTTACATTATCGAGCGCAAATTATCCCCCAACGCGTCCCCGTCCTACAATTATCGCCGAACGATGAATCATTCGTCCACTTGCCAATAAGTCGCCAATTTTCCTATAAAAAGCAGCATCGATTATGCCAATAGTTCAACATGCCTATTGGCTATTGGACGCTGGTAAATTCATAATTTCGAGAACTTCAGCTCCTCCCTCCGCAATCCCCGTAACGGCACCCACGGCCAATCGAGACATCACGTCAACATCGTAAATCTTCGTTGCCGCAACACAAGTGCGTGCGCAAGTTCAAGCAATAGAAAGCTCAATTTTGAAGACAAGGAGGTAAGAGTCGACTTTCCAATCTCGACGACGACTCGCCGCCGACCATCGACCGCGCGAGCTTCATCCAGTACATCAAGTTAAGCGGCTACTAGAGCCGCGCGACCCGGCGATACTTACCAGAAGAAGCCCCCGAGCAGTCGACCGACCGCTGGCTCGCACAATCAACAAGTCCGTCGGCTCGCCTCCGGCCTACGCCGGGACAACGAGGCTCTCCCTCGTCGGCCCCTTCGACCGCTTCGGCGCCTCCACCGCACCAGGCGTCCAATCCCCGGCCCCGTAGTTCTCGTCCGAGCCTCAGGTCGCGCGGTCGCCCGCATCGCTGCCATTAGTCCGAGCGAGAGGTCGCGCGTCTCGCCGTCGACGCGAGCGAGACGGTAGGGCGAGAGAGAGACCGAGCTCCGGCTGGTGGGGCGGCAAAAGAGCGCGTACCCGGTGCGCAATATCGCGGGTCGTGGCGGGAGGGGCGTGAGAGAGAGAGAGAGAGAGAGCGAGAGCGAAAGGGCGAGAGAAGGGGGGTGGGGAATCGGTGCGCGAGGCCTGCGGTGCAGCCCGGCTGCCATGACAGTCGCCGTCGGTGCGCAGCACGTCGTGCGTTCGTATCGATGAGTTGATTATCTCGGGCGGGTGTTGACCGAGCGCAGTGCCTACGACAACGACGACGACACACCTCACGTAAATAAAGAGGGAGAGGGCCCGTGCGCCGACGACAGCACGTATCCCGGGTGAGTGCGCCGCGGTCCTCGAGCTCATCGTCGCCAGCGGCCCGTGCTTCGTCTCCTCGTTGCTTTGCCGCCGACGCCGCAGTCGCAGCCTCAGCCGTAGCCACAACCTCAGTCTCAGCCTCAGCCTTGGCTGTCGCTGCCGCCACCGCCACCGCCACCGCCACCTTCACCGCCACCGCCACCGCCACCGTCACCGCTGTCGCTATCGCTGTTCTCTTCTGCCAGGTGTACGCGCAGCGCTGGCTTATGCTACGCGTGGGTGCCCGAGGTAGGCCAGGTTTACTCGAAGCGACGACGACTGTCGTCGAGTGTGACGAACGGCGGATGTTTCGCGCGCCCGTTTGGAATTGTGCCCGTCGGGGATGATTAGACCTGAGCTTCGAGCTCGCGGAGCCTACTCGAGGAGATGCTTGGCCGGGAGCGAGCGAGTGAACGAGGGAAGGAGTGAATGAGTGAACGAATGAGTGAACGAACGAGCGAGCTAACTAGCGAGTCAGCTAGAGTCAGCCACCAACCAACCAACCAACCAACCGACCGACCGACCGTCCGACCGACCGTCCGACCGACCGACCGACCGACCGACCGACCGACCGACCGACCGACCGACCGACCGACCAACCAACCAACCAACCAACCGACCGACCGACCCACCGTCCTACCGTCCCACCGTCAGACCGGCCGATCGACCAACCGACAGATCGACGGACCGACCGACAGATTAATAGATCAATAGATGAACAGACCGACAGACCGATAGATCAATAGACTGACAGAACGACAAACCGACAAACCTAGAGACCGAACGAACGAACGAACGAACGAACGAACGAATGTACGTACGTACGAAGCAACGAACGGTGCATTGTTAGGAATGTGTGTACAGTGGGCAAGGTTATGTTAGCTCGAGAACGAAGCTGGTTTCTCGATACGGAAATCGGACGTATTCGGATTTACGAGCTTCCTTTCTAACATCTTTTTAGTGTTTTGTTTTTTTGTTTTGATACCGTACGTGATTCTTGGAAGAGCGCGCGCGCTTCCGCAAGTACATCTTTCTTCTTTCCTTTTTCTTATATTTTGTTTCTTTTTTGCCATTGCTTGCCAGCTTGCTGGGGTGGTAAGCTGCGCAAATGAGCCTGGAAATACGCTGGCTTTGAAAGAAGAGTATATCTTTCGAAATTATAGCGAAATGCCTTTATTTTGATGTTTTGCTGCTCTTGGGGAGGTTGGGTTGGGAGGCTGTAAATCCTAGATTCGGTGTACTTTCTTTCGTGAAATCATAAATAAATTAATATACTTGCAACGTTACCGCATAGAGAGAGCATTTGATGGCTTCGTTTCATTCGTCGCTGCTCGCTGCTGTCAACTTTCATCCTTGCACGATAAACTAATAAACAATAACAACAACAACAACAACACCGACAACAACATCAACAACAACAATATCAATATACATGATGATGATGATGATGATGATGATGACGATGATGATGATGATAATAATAATAATAGCACAAGTGTTCGTGTAACGTGTAGTAGAAATATTCGCAAGTGTGGCATTTCTGGCAATTGATATCTTCTGCAGTTTTCAAAGTTTTGTTGTTTTCAATGGCGGCGTAGGGAAGTTTTCCGCATGTCAATGAACATTTCTGGATTTCAAGCGAGTAATTCATTTTGCAATATTATGGTTATTGAAGCTCGAAAGGTTGTTACTTCAAGGATTATTACTTTTGGTTACGATATACACTATAAACACGGTGACAAATTATGTACGCGAAACAATCTTGACGAGTGACATTGTTTTATTATATGATATATTGGTCGGGTCTCAATTTTAAATATTATATTACTGTTATATAGATTATTTTAAACAAGCCACTTTAAGGCACAATTAGTTAGCATTTGGATAACATCGTATGACACATTTGGATTAGTTAATCGTTAAACTAACATTATACCATTGTAACAAATGTTACAGGTAGTTTACACGGCATATAATTAAATTGTATAAAATCAGCAACAATGTAAAACAACGATATACAAGGATAGATAACGAGGATATCTTTATGATTATATAAAAATTATTGTACAGCTAGACGTATCGATGGGCAATTACGATTATAATTCATTGATAAATTTGTTTAAAGAAAAAATTATTGTTACATAAAAATTAGGACCAATTTTTTTTTATTGCTTTTTATGTTTATTGTATCTAGTTTAGTAATCGTAGCAGCAATATTTCATGCAACAACACAACTTTCTTTATAGATGGGAATGAAGTTATGCATTAATATTCGTGTATTCGTGCGGTGAATAGTAAATACTGTGCGAATTATAACTGATTCAAGGTTACTATTAAAATGTTAATCAATCGATCGCATACTATTTAAATTTAAAACATTTTCCAGCTTTTTCGGTGACAATTGAATAGACTAACAAATGCACATAAATTATTGGTAGTAATTTTCCAAACTAATACAGCAAGTGCATTAAAGCTTAATAAGAAAATTATTTAAATAATATTTAGTGATTAGACCTTCGGCTTGATTTTCTTAAATTTATAGTACCATAAAAGTTATTTAAAAGAAAAAAAATTATTATAGAATCATTCATCATTTGCGTCCTTTTCATTCCTTTAAAGTTTCAAAATACATTTTTAAAGAATTTCGATCGATTATATAAAGCCACAGACGTACTAAGGTTTTATTTTCAATAGCTCCACTATGTGGTATCAAAAAATGTATTTAAAATTTACTGGCATATTTAAGTACTGCTTAAAGTACTTTTCAAACAAATATTCGTAGTTCAAGTTCCATCGAATTATAATATAGTCGTTTATCTTTTAGTGTTTAAATTTATTGCTGCCTAGTACATTAAAATCGATATGTTCTTTATTTCTGTTAATAGAGTTTTAAGTAGAGTTTCTTTCAAGAGCTTACGATTAAATTCTATAAAACTTGATGCGAAGAAGATTACAGCTTTCAATTAATAACATTTAGCTTAATGTCAGGAGTTAGTTGTCTTATAAATAAAGGCAGTTACAAAATCGTTAAGCTAATACTATTCATTTTATATTATTTTGCTTATGTATGATGTTTAATTGTTATTTTATTGCATTAAGTTTCAAAATACATCCATGTCAATATATACGATAAAAATATTTATTGCGCGTTATTAAAATTAAACGTGAAAAATAATGTTTACAAACCGAATTCAAACACTATAATAATACACGGCAGTTTATTTTATTAAACACAAAAGTTAAACGAATAAAGAAAGAACAAAAAAAATGTAGCCTTCGATGGTTTAAATGAATTCTGGTGCATCATTATTGTTACCAATTTTTAACGGTTAATTAATTAATTCTCATTAATATTAAATAATTAAGTTTTAACTGGAAATATTTTATACATTCTTGTTTGTGGCAAACTATTGGCTTTATGAAACTATTCTAAAACTCGTTTGTTTGTAAATTCTTACAATTACTCATGAGCCTAGGTAAAGGCTTTACCAAACATTTCTAAAAGTTATTTATTAGAAGCAATTTTTTAATTAAATAATAATATTCAATTCGACAGCATTAGATATTCGATGTGGTATTTTTTTTATTTTTTTTTATTTTATTTTTTTTTTTGTAATATATTAGGCCTAAAAGTAAGTCGAAATTTATTCAAATGTACATTTAGAATATGATCTTAATTTCATAAGATTCTGTGACATCTAATCGATACGTCAAGCACTTACTATATTCTTTGTATGCCCAACAAATAAACCCCTCTCGAAGCACATTAAGTAAAATAAAAGAATTATTTTTTTTTTATTTTTTGTTTTTTTTCTTCCGTCATGTAGATCCAGCGGAAAGCCTTCCTAGCGAAATTCAACTCGAGGAAGCGCTCGTCAACATTTTCGATTAAATCCGCGGAATTCCTGAGCTTACGTCCTTGGCAAAAAACACATACACACACAGGCGCGCGCGGAAACTCAGTCACATCGCCACCGTCATCGTAAAATCTGTTGAGCTCAGCGTCGTTCGTGTGTCACGATGACCGAAAGAATGTTGGCGACCGGCGACGAGTCCCCCGCGAAGTCGTCCCACGATTAGATGCCCACGAGGTATCGCCGTCGTCAGGGTGGGAGAGTGCGAGGATGAGGCCTCGAGTCTCGCCGCCGGTGCTCAGGTACTACTGCTGTTGCTGCTGCTGTTACTGTTGAGTTATCAACGACCAGTGACCGAGAATAGAGTACAAACAGAAGAGAGGAGGAAGAGAACCGAGAGGCAAGATAAAGCGCTGCTTGTTCCCGTGAGTGTGCATGTTTCGCGAAAGAGGTTGAGAAGATGTTTAATTTTATGAAGAAGGCGACGGAGAAGGAAGAGAAGGATAAGAGAAAGAGGGAGAAGAGGGAGAAGAAGGACGTTAAGAAGAGGGACAGGGGTAGCATGTCCGCCGAGGAGCTGCTCAGATTGGACGAGGTAAGGACACATCGACTCTTTTATCTTCATTTTCTAAAGCTTGCTTTTAGGGCATTTTGCTGGATTGGAATTTCTTCATGATGCTGTCATTAGACTGTCGTTCTGATTTTTTTTAATAACTGCTTATAAGTAGCAGAGCCGGCATTCTACGTCTTTTCGGATTAGCGGACAAATACACTTCCGATTAATATTACGACCGTTTCTCAATTATATGATACGTTAACTCAAGGCTATACTGCTTGAAAGGACGAATTTAACAAATATTTTAAATGAAACTATTCCATCGTGTGACAAAACAATTAAAAATTTGAGATAATAAATTTCGATTTTCAATGGAGGATTATAAGGATTAGCTAAACAACACTTTACACGAAAATACTTGTTGTATTAAAAAAAAAATATAAAAAAAATGCATTTTATTCTATATTTCATTTATTATTTTAATAGTCGAACGTAAAAATGCCGCGGTGCTCATAATTCATATATAATGAAAGTTACGAAACTGAGTCCGCATAATCAAATTTCACAATTACGTTGATTGTTCCGATTCATTATTCTACCATCCACTGTTAACAATTCGCTGAAAATATCGAAATTTCGAGCAAAGCCTTCAAGCTGCTAATTTGCAATGTCTTTACGCTCGAAACCATTCTCAACCATGAGAGATATGAAATTAATAATAATAAAAAAAAAAAAAAACAATTGAATTCAGCAATATTTAAAACGTTCATATATACTTATTTGTAATTATTGAAATAATAATTTTATATTTTTGTATTTTTAATCATTTTAAATCACATCGCTGTAACTATTTTCATAAATGATGAAAAGTTCGTTAAACGAAATTATAATTTTCAAGAAATGTGAAGACAGTTATATTAAAATTATAGTTTAAATATTAATCTCATAACTATATGTCGTATTTGCAATCTAAATAATAAATGCTCGTATTAATTTGTGGAGTATACTACTAAATGCAGTAGGTTTTAATAATTACATTTATGGTGTACGAATACGATAATCGTATAAAACACACAAAAGTTATGAGATATACATCTATGATTGCTTTACTCTAATAAATTATATAAATAGAACATAAAATTAAAAATTACTTAAGAATGCAATCGCAACATGATCTATGAATTAGCAAAAAAAACAACAAAATTGGTTGAATCTTAGTTATAGGTTCTGACGTGTTTACACTATTATTTATATATTCCGAGACCACGAAATCATATGAGACATAATAGTAATCTAGATAAAAGTCCCCTTTATAGTTCTTTTTTCTTTCTGTACATTATATCTGTATTATTCCATTTTTTATATTCTTGTTCTCATGCGTGGACTCGACATTTCATCATTTCTTTGCTTCCTTTTGATGAATTTTTTTTTCTTACATCACTTCCTAGGATCATTTCTGACTCATTTAGGTTTGTATAGTAAAAACAACTCGATTTGAGATCTCATTTCATTTGCGATTCACTTGAATTCTCTAATTAAATGTGTTCTTTCTCGTATTTAGCTTTTGTTAACGGTACATTAATGTAATTCGAAACAAAAAATAAAATAAAACAAAAATGAAAAAAGAAATGCCGACGTTAAAGGGGAAGCATTAATTATATCCTAAGTAATTTAAACAAGTGTTAATAGAAATTTTTGAAAAATAAATTGCCTTGAAATAGTTTAATAGTAGTTAAGTATGCCAAACTTTCAATGATATAATCATTTTATTTATGTATGCTACGCGCTACCTAACATACACAGAAAGTTCAAAGAGTATATGTTTCTTATATAAAATAAAATATATTGTTAAATATTCTAATTCAGATAATTATATATTGTCAATGAAATTCGATGTTCACAATTGTCCATATAATTAAAAAAATATTACTTGAAGTTGAAAAGCTGTTATTGATCGATGATATTTTCAATCACTGTCGATAAACCAACGCATTTTCAAATTTATAACCAAGGACAGTTAGATGCTTTGCAACAAAAATCTTTAACCATAAATTATAAAAAGTTGGACAATTTTTTTTATCGAATTTAAGAAAGTATAAAATTAAATTCACCTAATAATATAGGTTGCAACGTACACAAATATTTACTTTCTCATTCGATTTACAATGAAATAAACTTGACAGACATTGTAGAAGAACGAAACCGAGAAATTATAAAATTGCAATATCGTTAAAAACCAATTAATAATCTATCGTGTAATTTTAATGTTGGTTTAATTTTTAATTTTTAATTTTTTATTGTTTCGTTTTTAATGCGTACAGTATTACAAATGGATGTAAATTTCAGTAAATTGTCGTTTTACAACTCTATTGGTGCTGAAATTTTAACTTTATAGAATTGTAAATACTCTTTACGTAGTCTTTTATTGATTAGTAAGTAGGTATTAAAGGTATTTAGAAAAAGTCTGTGTTATTCGATTCTACCGAACGAAATAAGAATAGTAACGTTTATGAAAATATTTGCGATGCATTCGTTTACAATCTAGATATTTCAATATTTCTATAGTTATTGTTTCGATATTTTTTTTCTCATAAGTTAGGGCATAATTAAATGTGCATTTATCGCTTATGGATGGATTTTATTTTTGAAAAAATTAATTTAACATCACGTTAATTAATATTGGCTTTTAACCCACGAATTAGTTGATATTAATAGGGTTCGTTTCGTTTAGAAGAATAAAAAAAAAGTCACCCTTTGTTGACACATCACTCAATAACCTTCAAAATAAAAACTTTCCTCCTAGAAGTAAAGCAAAGCAGCGAAACAGTCTTTACAGCTTTTGTTTTTCTTTTAGATGCGAAGGTCATTAAAGATTCGAGGTCGCCGCAAAGAGAAGGAAAAATTGCCAAGCGGCATCACCGCTGACTACAGTGCGTCGTTTTTCGCCCAACTAGATCGCGACGTTCTTGACGATGCCCAGAGTATCGTTAATGCCAACTCTGGGGTGGGCCGCACCCCCGAGGGCCTCACCCAGAGCGATTCGTCCGAAGCATCCTTGACATCACTTACGAATTCTGCGGGGGGAAAGAACTTGCCACCGCTGCCCCCGAAGCCACCGAAGCGCGGAATACTTAAGGGGCCTCGATTGAACGCCGGCTCGTCCTCGAATAATAGCTCGGATGTCCTGGTGTCGCCTACCTCCACGCCCTCGTCGATGATCTTTCAAAATGGCTCTAATCAAGACAACCACCACGAGGCGAATAATCTTCTTGTGCGAAATACCTTGCAAAACGAAGTCATAGCTTATCAAAATCTACCCTTGCAGCAAAGGCAAGGAAGAGATGATTTGCAACTGATATACAGCGAGGAAGAAACGTATCAGGTGCAACAGAGTCCGCAACAGTCGCATCATCAATTCGGTAACTCTGGTCAGCAGGATTCTAAGCTTCTACATGTAAGTTGATTTTTCATTATCATCCAACAAGTTTTATAAATGCATATCGATAGATTTATAAATAAATTTATAATACTGATACAGAGAAATTTTTATTGCTTAATGAATGAATTATTGAGCAGTTGTCGTGTTTATAAATTACATGTTTCCGGATAATTTAATATGCTGGTCTAAATAAGAAAGACTAATTTACATATTATGTAAAATTTTTCGTTAAACCCTTTGGTTTTAGGGTTATTGAGAGAAAATGAAATTTAAAGCGTGTAAAGTTTTCCCCATTATTATGTAATTATCCTTCAAGGAGGGAAATTTTTTCTCGCATTTTTATTAATTTCATTATATCGTGTTTACGTATCCTTTGAAATCTATATCGATTTGTTTTCATAAAATTTTTATCGTACAAATTACATAGACTTGTAGTTTTAGACATATAGAGTAATATTAATAATACATTATTTCATGTGTTAAATGTATTCAATAGATTCCAGGTTTCTAATGTTAAAATCGATTATTACCATAATTTGCAATTAATCAAATTTTTTAAAAATTTTTTTAATTTATACATATATATATATATATATATATATATATATATATATATATATATGTGTAGTAATAAATTACTAGTTATATTATCAATAACAAATTCTATCGTAGAATTTTATTGTTAGGCAGAAATGAATAATGAATTTATAAGAAAACAATATTTGTTCATATTTATCATCTTTACTTTGAAATATTTACTAGAACAATAGAAAAAAAAACTATATTTATTTTAAACAAAACACACGTAGTTCTTGTCCTTTAGAAATTCTGAGAAAGCATCTAGCAATTAGAGCTCAGATTTTTAGAAGAACGTACATTTCGTTTGTAAATTTTTTTCACTTATGAACATTATTTTATCCTCCATATGTAATTAAAATAATTAATCTTGGATAATCAAATGAATATTTGATTTAGAAATATATATCGAGCTCTCTCAATCATATAGTACTATGAAATATCTGTTTTAATAATTATAATATGAGATGAAAATTTTTTTAATCCCATCTAAGAATGTTTTATTTAATTAATTATACGAAGTTCATTACGTACAAATTAATTAATTTTTAATAGTTAATATACAACATTTTATTAAAGTGACGAGAAGTTTTTTTTTTGTAAATGATCAAGTTTTAAATGCTTATCTTAACAAAAGTTAAAAAATATAAAACAATAAAACAAAATACACGTGCATGTATGCACGCATATAGTATATATATATATATATATATATTTATATACATATAATAGTCATTTTATAACTAATAATATAGAGATGAAAATAGAAGGTTTTAACGTGCGTTTAAGAATCGCAAGCGATTTCTACATAATTTTACTTCTTTAATGTGAGAAAAATGAAAATTAATCTAACTGTACGATGACATTTTATAATACTTATGATAACCACGGACTTTATGTTATAATTAGTCAAGCATTAATTTCAAGTTTTTGAGCTATTCGAATAATGCGATATTTAGAAATGTTATATTAGATAAAGTTAATTATTTTTCAAAAGAAATACTAATATTTGTTTATTAGTATTAGGTAGTGTAGATTGTTAATTTTTATTGCTTACGTGTTCAGTATAAAGATTAATCTAAAATAGAATGAAATATAAAGGATGCAGAGAACTAATAATATTTTAGTCGTTCAAGGAAACTGGAAATCAGTCGATAACATAATTTTAAGAATTCGATATTTCTTTTCGTATTATAATACATCATTGTTGATTATATTATAGGAATAATAATAACAGCTTGTTGTATAAATATTTTTTGAAATAGTTTATTTTTTCTAATTAAGAGCAGTAGTAATAATAGATCGGTATTAGAAAAGTCAAATGAGAAATAATAATTTTTCTTATTGAAATTTCTAGACTCATTTTATTGGAATTTTTGTTTCTTAATTAAAGAAAATAAAAGCTACAATAATAGCAAGAACAACAAGACTAGCAATAACAATAATAATAATAACAAAAACAGTAACAATAATAATAATGATAACAACAACAGTAACAATAATAATAATAATAATAGATCGTTGTTCGTTATTATATGGGAATAGAAAGATTTTCATTACACAATGATGTAGAATTATATTAACATATTATTTTTGTATAGTTTAAAACCAAAGAAAATTATATTTTTAATTTTACAGTTAGGCTCTTGGTTTCATTTAATTTTAAATTTATCACATCATTAAAATTTATACAAAATGCCATATAATCTATAGACTTAAATTATCGTTTTAAGGTAGAACTCTACACGAAGTGTAATTTGCATGTTGTTGAATATGTCATTGGAACGTTTTACTCTGTGTGGTGTAAAATATTGGTATCATTAACTGACGAGTACTAAATAATGTAAATCTAATAAATTGCGATATAGTTTGCAAGTGTCAACTTAAGTACTCGGTCGAAGTGTATCTGAAAATCGTAGAAATTTTGTAAGTTCCTTTATAAATGAACTTGTGATTTAAGCTTCATCCACATAAATTATTAATAAATTATTTTCTTTTATAGCTATATAATTTTTCAGATATTTATAAAAATGAGATAATATTGATTTAAATTTACCTTCGTTAGGTTAGACTTAATTTTCCAGTTTTATATTTGGAATAATAAATTTGTAAGTAGAGCACACACTCCATGCAACAATAATAATTTTTGACAAATTATTTAATATGGCGGGTGGGTGTGCAGTACTACCAAAGAAAAAGCAAAAGTATAAGCTTTAGTTTTCAGTTTTATTGATTATAATGTTAATTATAATGGTTAGAGTTTTATAAAATTTTGAAATATATTGGGAAAAATATAAATATTCAAACCGTATAATTGAGCTTTCGGGATGCCGTGAATTTTAATTTTGCATTCGGGACTAGCAAACGCGGGGAATTTCTCGCAGAACTTTTTCCCAAACGTTGCGCACAAGTGAAAGCCAACGAACAAACAGTCGTTCGTGTGTCTATACATTACAGGGTATTTGGTTGTACGACCGAGTTGATACGCGGACTTTCTGTTTTGCCTTTAAGATTGGTGACACTTGTTGCCTGAGTTCTTATAATCATGATACTGATCAACATATTTGCATGTTTCAGGTAATGACGAGTGCGAGCCCCTCGGCTGACTCCCTCACAGACACAACCAACTCCAGCTTTGCGACTCCGCCGTTCAGCTTGTCGCCAGTTGGCGAATCCCAGGGATTTTCTCGCTGGCGCAGCTCCGGTTCCTTTGAGGACCAGGGGGTTCTCGATCTCAGTCTGCCAGAGATCGTGCCCCTAGAGCTACCGGAGCCCCGGATGCTCGTCATACAACGGCAGCCGCTTCCGAGGTCTGACTTTGGGTTCTCTTTGAGGAGAGCAGTGGTCGTGGAACGTTCGATATGTGGTATAACGCATATGCGGTCGGTGATATTCGCCGAGCCAGGAGCACTGGTGCAGAACGTAAATGACACGGGCCTATTGCCCGGTGACCGGCTCATAGAAGTGAACGGAATCAATGTCGATGACAAGTCTAGGGAGGAGATCATCGATCTTATCAAGGGTTCCGCGGGTAGCGTCACCGTCAAGGTTCGTGATATTTTGTACTATATTATTTGACGTTTACCAATTCACAAGGTTTTCACTGGTTCCATTATTATCCATAATTTTTTTATTAAAAGTTTGCTATCCAGGGCAGGTTGCTGGTAAAAGTTTATCGATTATGTTATTGCTAGTAGTTACATGAAATTTAATGATAGAGTCGAAATTCATATCAAGTCTTATAATAGAAGGAAGAGAGAAATCGTGGAGGTGTTTTTGCGAGGGCCGTAATTAGAAGAAGAAAAAAAGATAATCATGTATTTTTAGACAAGCCTATAATAAGACTTGGATTAGCGTTCATGTAGATTAACTGCTAATGTGAATGGATGATTCATAGTGTTGTGCAATTATTGTCCATAAAACGAGCCCTTTTAGCTATTTTTCATTGTTAATTATAAAAAAAAAAAAAAAAAAAAAAAAAAAAAAAAAAAAAAAAAAGTTTTATATAAGGGAAATGCATAAAATGACTTTGCTATTGTCGTTCGTGCATTGAACCCAAATTACGTAACAATTTTGTGAACTTTGTAGAGGTTCAGGGGTATTAGGTAATAGCGATTTTTGCTGCATAAAAGGGGTTTGTAGTGGTGAAAAGTCTACAGAATATTGCATAGGTATTTAATAAAATGTACATATAATTGATAATGGTGTCTTTGCTTTTAAACATTGATCGATATGAATATGAGACTTTTAAATAATATGGCACAACACTACTAATAATTACATTTATTTATTTTAAAAACTTATTGAGTTAATTGTTATAATTATAATAACGTATAGCCTTATGAGAAAAAGTTGTTTAATATTGATAAATATTAATACAGTATTACAATATTTGATAAAATATTTAAGATACATTAGATTAATGGGCGATTAATTACTTCATATATAAAGTCGATTAAAATTTCAATACTTTTAGAATAAAATACATTGTACGTAATATTTTTAGAAAATTACAGTACTTTTTTTTCTTCATAATATTAATTCGTATATTAAGATGAAGTCATGTTTCGTAAAATAATTTTTATCGAGTTTAATTTACCTTTTCAAAACTCATACTATAATTTATATTCGTCCATGCGCGCTGAGTAAATATTATTAGAAAATATACAAAAAATAATTATAAATAAATAGTATGATTAGAGCATTCGGAGCTAAGGAAGATTTTAATTCTGAAATGCTTTTTCATTAATAGTAACAATCCATAATTTTCTATATAAGGTTTGAGTAAAAGTAATTGGGCACGACTCCAAGTCATTTGAATATAGCATCGCGAGTAAAAGCAAATCGTAAACTATTCGACTCGTCCTAAAATTATATTTTTTTCTCTCTTTTAACAAGCTTTAGTATAAAACAAACACGTTTTTATGCGTATATCCATGAGGGGTTCGGCATCTCTACGTCCCGAGGATCGGCTAGATTTCCTTACTCGCTCCTCGGGATTAGAGAATCGTCCGGAGTGACCGCAGTGGTCGCATAGCTCATCTCGTCGGGGTAATGGGAGTGGGTGAAGAGGAGGGGGGTTAAGAGCGGTGAAAGGCGCGAGGAATCCGCAAGTCCGCGTGTATCGGTGTGAGGCTGAGGACCCGCGGGCAGACGCTCGGTTGCGCAATGCGCTGAAAATTTTCATTACGAGCGATCATTGTGACGACTGAGTTATGGGAAAAGCGGGGCTTTTCTCGGTTGTTATCGCATCTGGTCGACTGTGTGGGACATCGTGATTGATAAGGAATGGGATGCTGGTATGGCTCCTGCTTCAACTTTCTGACGCATATATCAATTTTGTAATTAATCGGCGGCGGCGGCGGCTGCATAAAACCATCATTCGAAATTGCATCTTATTGTTTAGAAAATACATTTTGTGGGAGGAAGTATGTCGTTAGTGGGTTATTTATTGATGAGGGTTAATGATTTGCTGAAATGCCCCTTCACTGTCAGAGCTCCTAAAGTTTAGAAATCTGTGCCATTGTATATTATAAAAGTTATATTTATTATCATAAGCATATATGGAATTTTTATTTATTAGTAATTAAAAGTCTTAATCTACCGTTGACCTATTTAATTATCATTTTCCTTGGCTAATAATTTAACGATGTTATCTCTTCTATTGTTGGTTACTCATTCAAGCTAAGAATTTTTACAAGAAACTATTAGTTTTCGGTCTATCGGGCGAAAAAAAAACACCTGACAGACTGTAATACTCCGTTCCCTGTAAACTCGATAATATTCGCAAATTCGCATAACTAAATGTAGGATTGAATAATGATTGAATAAAATAAAGCGTGATTTCCGCGGAAGAATCCGCGCTATTATTATGCGTAGTTTTTCACTGCATCCTTGACGGGAGTAACGACTCACTCGCGCGGCTGCCTTAACGCAGCGATTACGTCGGGACCAAAGATCTTACTTTGTGAAATTTTCGAATAATAGCCGGTTACGAATCGTGCGCTTGACGCGCGCGAATGATTAATATCCAGAGGCGTTGTCGTGGCACATGCTCGCCCAACTATGTCAAATATGCATCAAATGGAGAACGTCACACTGCTCGGCAATTGTCTCATAGTTCAAGGGAAGAAGGCGCACTTTTTCGAATGTGGCATGTATATTTTGTTAGGGAGGACTCTGCGAGGTCGTAAATTTTATAAAACCGGAGACTCGCGCCCGTACATGCCGTATGCAGGAGAGACGAACTGCACGACCAAGTGCACTTTTTGCGATTAAGGACGAGTGTGTGATTGCAAAATTTCGTGCTCGCATGAATACGTACGCGCACATGGACACTTTTAATATACGCGTCTCTTTAATGTCGGATGTTATGTTTTCTATACTCATTGCCGTTCTTTCGTCACGAACAGCTTATAGTTATCGATATCAATTATTCATTTATTCTATTATTGCTGATTCGATTGTTTCGAAATATTTGATTTTTTGTATTGGGAATTCGTTATAACTGAAAAGAAAAAAAAGAAAAGAGGAAAAATGTGACGACTCCAAGTCAAACAAAAACAAAATGTAATTCAAATTTGATGTTACTTTATAGAATTAGCCCCAACATCCAATGACCAGTTGTTTATGGTGTATTATAAAACCCAATTTGCAAACAGCATAAAATTGATGGTTTGGATTATTTTGTTCCGTCCTTTTAGTCGATCATCTCCTTAACTCGAGTGTCGGTGCAAATAAGTGCATTCTCAACATATTTCGGTTAAAAATAAAAGTAAGAAAAGAAAACGAACTGCTTATCGCTCGTTACCGTACCTCACAAGCTCAATTTTTGCGGGATTCGCAAAAAGAAAAAAGGAAAAGAAGAAATGAAATAAAGGCTAGGTGATATCGCATTTCTCGCATTGGCACGCTTTCGTTCGCAAGTTTAAGCGAAGAAGAGGAGGCGGGTCAAGAAGGAGGCAGGCGAGAGAGAGAGAGAGAGAGTGAGAGAGAGTGGGGTAGGGGGGAGAACGAGATAATATGAGGTTCGCGAAAAATGCGGCCTCGAGAGGAGGGCGCTTAACCGAATTCTTGGACGACTGCCAGGATAAATTATTATTTCCAAAGAGAAAAGGGGAATCGAAGAAAGAACGGCCTTTTCGCTCCATTCCCATAAGGTGGGGTAAGGCTATTCTTTTTGCACATTACGCGAAATCTTAATTCTTGCGCGAATTGTATGCCGATTGATATATTTTATAGATTAAATGAATGTCGAAGGTATTAAAAGTACGAGTATGAAAGGTGTTGAAGTTAATGAACTTTCGTTGATTGGAAGGACGAGAGAAAAGAAGTAATTTAAAAAAAATAGATATTTAAGAGGATATTCTATAGAATATAAATATAGGATATAAATTCAAAAAATTTACCTTATTGAATATTGTTGATGATTTTTTTTTCAATTAGTTCAAACATTGTTTAACAATGTATTGCCTTCCTTCTTTCTTTCATGTAAACGATGATCACTCTCAAATTATAAGGTACAAAAATTTCATTCATAATTTAGAATACTTGACGAGCTTGAGCGCTTGAATTGAATATCATTATCAGTACTTTGCATTAAAACTTAAAAATACTCAGATAAATTAATGCTACATAAAAGAACCTGAAATTCCTAGTCCATTTAGCTAGGATAATTGCAACCATGTTTCTGGGAATTGTTGGAAAGTTGAATTTCCAGACATTAATATCTTCTGCAGTATCTTCTTTCCTAATAAATTTGTAGCTGAATTAAGTGAATATTGTTTTAATAAATGCTTAATATGCATATTATAGATTTTTTTTTAAAAATAATTTCGATATAATATCGTTTCTCTAATCGTAAATACAGTTTATTCGTTTTGAAATGAACTGTACATTTTCGCAAAATCTTAAGTTTCAACATTAGAATCCATCATTAATGCAACAATGATTTCCTAAATAATTGTTGCTTATAAGATAACAGTAAGCTAGACTATAGAGTTTTCATTAAATAAACACCGTTACGAAATACAATATTTAATTTAACCAAATATCACTTTCATACAGATAAGAACTTTTACGTATGCATTTGTATATATAGACGAGAGAATGTTGGAGTCATAAAGGAACCGTTAGCTAATAGAAATTTATCAGTATCTCAATTACATCTCAAAATATTAGCGCATCGAGTAGTTAAATAATCTTTCTAAGTGGTTCAAGACAGTGAAATTAACGCATGCAGTAGTTTACTGTTTTACTAGTAAGTAGTAACACGTAATACTTGATCTTTATATAAATGCAAATATAATGGAAATACCAATTGATTTTGCAATCTTTTTCGGTGATATTAGAGAATATTATCGATAAATAAATGTTTCTTTATCTACAGTATTTTCTTACAATTTTTTTTTTATTTTTTAGCAATAATAATTGCTTTATTTCCATCGATTATTGCAATTTTATATCAACGACAATATAATATTTAGAAGAAACAATTTTAGAAAAGGAAAAGAAACTGAAATTAAATGATACCCGAACTAATGAATAAG